TAACTTGTGGTTTCCACTCTCTTCTCGGTGGCCCAGCGCTGTTTTTTTCCTCAACTTTTTTGGGGACGGCTTCCCCTTTAAACTCAGCCAGCAAAAAACAAGATGCCCTTTTTCATGGCCACTGGGCATCTGAGTCTTCTTTCTTAACTCTTGGTACCCGTCTTTCCCTTCAAGGATGCGGCTTGATTTGTTTTTTTCCCTATGGCCACTGGAGATGTGGAGACCAAAGTCTTTCCCTGCAACACTGCTGCTCAGGGTTCTGGGATCAAGGGGTTTCTCATACAAGGGAATCCTTCTTACACTAACAAAATCACCAGCATAGAATCCAGATAGCGAAACACCCTGCCATCAATCGCAGAAGTGCGCCTGCACCAGCACCCCCGGCCGTCAATCTCGCGAAAATGCGCCTGCACCATCACCAGCACCCCAAAAAGCATCCCAAAACAGTACCCGCCACCAGCACCCCAAACTGCATGCCCCCTAGCACCCACCCGTCAATCTCGCAAATCACTTTGCCTTCTTTAATAGAAGTTAGACCCCCTATAGCTTTCAGCTATCTGGGCAAATAGTCGTTGGGAAGCCCTTTCTGTTGTATCACTGATTGCTCGATGTGGCTGTGGGTCAACACCAGTGGGATCCCATTTTGGGCTAGGCGAATTCACTATCCATTTTACTCTATTTTAGTGGTTGGATTGGGATGTTCACTGGGGGTTTCCGGGTTTGACTCTTGACCCAAGGCCACATGGCGGGGGAGTGGCGGCTTCAGATGACGAAGCAGAAATGGTGCACCCACTTTAGAACTTATTTTAGTGGTTGGATTGGGATCTTCACTGGGGTTTTGACCCATGGCCATGTTTTGTTTTGCTTTTAATAAATAAATAACTATAATATATATATATATATACATATATACATATATATATATATATGTATATATATTTGGGAGCCTTTTGGACAGCCGAGGACGTTCGTGAGCCCCTTCGGTGCGGTGGCCTGCTTCTTCACGGGCGCCTGGACCATCGGAGTCTTCGGGCTGTGGGGGCCTACCATCCTGGAAGGCCGCAGCGGGGCCCGGTCGAAACGTGTCGGGACACCCGGCTCCCCTTCCAAGGCAACCCTTGGGTTGGATTGGGTTGGATTGGGTTGGGTTGGGTTGGGTCGGGTTGGGTTGGGTTGGGGGTTGGGGGTTGGGGGTTGGTTTGGGCCCCGGTTCTGGTAGACAGACAGCAAGTGCCACAAAATGAGAGGGGGGTTGGACAGCAAGTGCCACAAAATGAGAGGGAAGCTGATAGCAGAAAACAGCAGAGAGAGGTCCTATAGTTGATTCTATGAAGGGCGCAAAGGCCTGTTGGTTTCTTTCGAGGCCCATTGCCCTTTTTGTTTCACTCATCAACCAAAAGACGGAATGGGCTCCGGTCAAGAGGAGAAACGATGAGCTGGGCAAATCACTTTTCCAGATGTTCGCAGCACTCCTCTTGGTGGCTCCCCACCATCACCTTAGCCTTTTAGCTTGTTAGTGTTTCGTGGTCGTTTCCGAATTTGACGCACTAGAAGTGAAAAACCTTTAGCGAGGGATCCGAAAACGGGCAGCCCAGTCCTGACTCCTGGAGCCCCTAACATGGGTGGTCAACAAACGATCATTTTTTTGTTTTTAAATAAGAATAAGAAAAACTGTTTTTTGCATAGGGCCTGGGACCCTGGAAGGCTTCCTCCGGTATGAAGACATGGAGCAGCCTTCCATCGACATGTACGCGCACAAGACCTTCTCTTGGGCCTGGGTGCACGTGATGCAAGTGGTCGGCGCCGTGTTCCTGACCTTGGGCGGCACCTGGGCGAGTTGGGTTGGAGTGTAGTTGCCCTTTTAAAAATATATATGTTTTTTTCACGTGTTAAAGTTTCTTTATTTTTGTTATTTGTCTTTCTTGTTTTTGCCAAAGTATCTTGGCTATTCGGGTGTGCTTGTCAAAACCGTTTTGGGATCTCCGTTTGGTTGGTAGGTGAATTCACCGCCCACTGTAGAACCTATTTTAGTGGTTGGATTGGGATGTTCACTGGGGGTACGGGAGTGTGACCCATGGCCATGTGGTTGGATTGTACTGGCCCGAGTTTTGTTAAATCAAAGTCACGCCTCAAGTGGTGGGTCAAAGGAGAACAGAACAAGCATTCCAGTTTCTGACTTTCATGCCCCCCAGAAGTAAAAAAATCATGGGCTCAGCCTTGCTGCTTGGATTGGCAGAAGCCGAACCATCACTTGCGGATTTCTGAGGGACCTCCAAATGGTTCATTCCCCATCGCTGTTACCAAGTCGGCTGATCTTGAGACCGAGTGACTTTTTTGACATGTTTTTTTCCCCAACACAGAGCAACAAGCCAAACAACAGCTTTTCACTGGATTGAGCCAGGCATCATTTTCGGAATGCTGGACAACATCTACCCCTGCAAGTCTAAAGGCTCCGAATTCAAAAGTGAGGAGGACAGCATCAGCAGCAGCGCGTAGGAAACTAGGAGATCCGCTCGAGTTGGGTCGTCGAATTCAGATTTTAGCGGCGCGCCCTTTCGACAAGTTGCATGGGGGCCGCGACTGCCCATGGGCGTGCCACACTTGGCTCGTGGGAAAGTGAAGGCGTTTGGTTCTTTGGGAGAACACAAGACTTGTGGATTTGTACCGATTCGAGCGATGTTTTTTTTGTAGTCCAAGCTTTTGGAGATGTCGAAAGGTGCAGGATTTTGGCCTATGGGCGAGGGTTTCACGCTTCGGCCTATCCCCAGTTCAGTGGCCACGATTGGAGATCACTAGGAAATCCGTGCCCACTCGGAGTCCGCCCTGCCTCCGTGGGGGAAAAAGCAAAAGCATTAGCCCCGCGCAGGGCGGTTTTCTTCCAGCGGCCATTTTTGCTCTTATTGAACAAGCAGAAAGTGAGCGGTGCCCAGGAACTCAGGTGACTCTTTCAGTTGCTGACTCTATGCGGAATGGGACAATCGTGAGGTCGATGTTCAAAGGACGTGGGTCAAAAATCGGGTAAACCAAAATTGCACCAAAAGGCACATGGAACCAAAGACTAAAACCTGCGTAACTCTGGCTCTTTGATTTGAACCACACCCATATGTCACGACAAAGACTAGAGCAAAGCGCTGATCGGTCCCGGGCGCTGTATGACTTGAAAGCGGTCTTCCTTTTGGCTAAGTGCGACGGGTTGCAAGGCCGACCCTTCTACCTTGGCTGCAGGCGCCAAGCGCGCCTAAGACAACCTACAACCGGTTGACGAATTTGCTGCATCAGCAAGCCACAGGTTGCGCAGAGATCTCTTGACCCACGATGTTAGCCAGCCCTGCCGGGGCGCACATCAATGGGTCTGAGGCTGAGGAAAAGTGATTGGGTGAAGCTGGCGATGGGTGTGAATTTGAGAAGCACCCTGAGAGTAAAAACCAGAGGGGTCACTCTTCTTCCAAGTGATTTCCGGTTGACAGCGCGTTATCTTGCACCATGTCATGGCAAGTAGCTGCGCAATCAAAACATGTGTAGGCTTGCTGTTAAGAATCCCACTGTGTGGTGTGTCCAGATAAGTCTGACGTGTTTGACTTGACTTAACGTTTAGGCGCCAACATGAAGGCAATGTCATTGGGGAGAGCCCATTTCGAGTTCTTTCCGCCACAGCCATTTGTCAAATTGCACATGTTGAGTAGGTTAGTTTGTTTCTATCGGATCTGTTTTGAAGTCATTGTGCAGTTTAAGGTTCGATCATATGGACCAGACTCAGTTTGTTTGGGGGCAAAAGCTGAGGCCGATTTGGCACAAATCATGTTGTTCCTGAAGCTACTATCCCCGTAACCCCCCCTACCTACAGAGAACCATTACACAAAGGGACCCCCTTTTGCCCTCGATGCACATTTCGTGGTTTTATCCTTTTGTGACTTGGCCGGAAAACAAATCTGGGACCTGAAGACTGTGGGAACCTGCCACCTTAGCGGCCCGAGGTGGGCAAAATACGACTTATGCATCTGCAGGGAACCATGGTAGCCCTGCGTTGGTGGTTAAAAATTGGTGGTTTGGGGACTTGAACCGCCGGTTCTTGTGGGTCAGCGGGCACCCCAACCTCCAAACCACGAATCCAAGCCGTCAATTTTGGGGAAGCTGACATTTGTAGGTGTTTCATGGAAAGTCTTACAATATCGGACTAATTCTCCTCTGGATGCCATGGGGGATAGATCAATCCTGGTCAACTTTTTGAGACGCAACTGGTTTTCAGACTGGGCTCAGAAAAGGCACTTTTTAGAAGAAATGGTTTTCTTTTTTACGGTTTCGGTTCTTTCCGTTTCGTTTTTTGCCAGCAACAAGCTCACTCTTGCAGGAGGGTCGGGCTCTAGCCGAGTTCAGACGGGTTTCGTTGCCCGGCATCGCTTGGATCGGACCAGCCCGGGCCAAGAAACATGCACCGAACTTGGAATGCTATTAGATTGGTTGGTTGGACCTCAAACTGTTTGGGAAAGTGGCTTGTTCCCCTTTGCCTGCAAGCAGTCAATCACTTTTTGGGCAGGTTCTTTTTGTTGGCCATGCAGCACGTTCAACGTCCGGCCGTGTTTGGACTGTTGAAACACATCCTAAACCTTGCGGGTGGCCTGCAGGATGTTGGGCTTTTGGGGGGATTGGCTTCCGTGTGCTGAAATGAATATGTCGTATTTTCCCCCAGTTGGTTTTCAAGGGAATCGATTTCACGACTGGACAGATTTCCGCATTCTTTCCAGGCGAACACATGGCAGTTGGGTTCCGTTGGGGTTTCCCTTCAAACCATGTCAACTAGGTCCCCCAGCTAGGTGCCCGACCTCTCACCCTTTTTGGGGGGTGGGTTCCCCTGCTAAAATAGACGTCCAGAAAAAAGTTGGTGCCCTTATTCTAACCTCTCAAATCTGGAGGACCTAGCCAAACCAACCAGCAAAAACGGCGGGCAGTGGGAGAAAACGCCTCCCGCCCGGTTCTCCGCGGGGCAAAAAAAAATGCGCCAGGCGCTGCGCACGGGCACCGCGACGTACCGCGCCACGGGGCGGCCCAACGCCAACACGCGGCTCACGCTGCTGGACACCTTTCTGCAGTACCGGCAGATGCAGTTCCAGGTGGGCGGTTCGGTTCAGTTCGGTTCAGTTTGGGTCGGTTTGGGTCGGGAAGGTCACGAAGCTTCGCCTCGCAACTTCATGGAAGGATTATTTTTTGGGAAGGTTCCTGCCTTTCGGTTCGGTTGGGAAGGCAGGTCGATTTGTTGGGGTTTGGGTTGGGAAGCTTCGCCTCGCAACTTCTTCATGGAAGGTAGGAGGCTGTTGGGGAAGTCTCCTTTTACGTGCACTAGAGGCTAAGGGTTTGTCGTTGAACATCAGCAGAATAAGGGTGCCACATGGCCACACTTCTGCAGGAGGGTGAATCACTGCAGGGGTGAAGGGGTTCAGTCTGAATGACTCCCCGGATTTATCAAGCAACTACATATGGCTGTGGCTCAAAACACCGGAACCCAAAATGGCTTGCCTTGGGAAGCGGAAACATGGACCAGAACCTGCAGTTTGCCCCTCCGATCGTTTCATTTTGAGCCACACCGCTAAAAGGGGCGGATTTCAGGGGCCTTTTGGCTGAACTCCTTTCTGAAAAGGGCAAAAAAGCGCTTATGCGCAAACCCCCCAAGAATTGGCCCCGAGAAGGAAACACATAGCCAACAAGTTGCGCAAACCCCAAACAAACGGCCCCGAGAAGGAAAAACATAGCCAACAAATTGCGCAAACCCCCAAACAAATAGCCCCGAGAAGGAAAAACATAGCCAACAAATTGCGCAATCCCCAAACAAATGGCCCCGAGAAGGAAAAACATAGCCAACAAATTGCGCAAACCCCCAAACAAATGGCCCCGAGAAGGAAACACATAGCCAACAAAATTGCGCAAACCCCCAAACAAATGGCCCCGAGAAGGAAACACACAGCCAACAAATTACGCAAACCCCCAAACAAATGGCCCCGAGAAGGAAAAACATAGCCAACAAATTGCGCAATCCCCAAACAAATGGCCCCGAGAAGGAAACACATAGCCAACCAAATTGCGCAAACCCCCCAAGAATTGGCCCCGAGAAGGAAACACATAGCCAACAAGTTGCGCAAACCCCAAACAAATGGCCCCGAGAAGGAAAAACATAGCCAACAAATTGCGCAAACCCCCAAACAAATAGCCCCGAGAAGGAAAAACATAGCCAACAAATTGCGCAATCCCCAAACAAATGGCCCCGAGAAGGAAAACCATAGCCAACAAATTGCGCAAACCCCCAAACAAATGGCCCCGAGAAGGAAAAACATAGCCAACAAATTGCGCAATCCCCAAACAAATGGCCCCGAGAAGGAAACACATAGCCAACAAATTGCGCAACCCCCCAAATAAATAGCCCCGAGAAGGAAACACATAGCCAACAAATTGCGCAACCCCCCCAAACAAATGGCCCCGAGAAGGAACAACATAGCCAACAAATTGCGCAACCCCCCCAAACACATGGCCCCGAGAAGGAAATCATAGCCAACAAAATTGCGCAAACCCACAAACAAATGGCCCCGAGAAGGAACAACATGGCCAACAAATTGCGCACACCCCCAAAGAAGGAAAATCATAGCCAACAAAATTGCGCAAACTCCAAACGCATGGCCCCGAGAAGGAACAACATGGCCAACAAATTGCGCACACCCCCAAAGAAGGAAAATCATAGCCAACGAAATTGCGCAAACCCCCAAACAAATGGCCCCGAGAAGGAAAACATAGCCACGAAATTGCGCAAACCCCCAAACAAATGGCCCCGAGAAGGAAAAACATAGCCAACAAAATTGCGCAAACTCCAAACACATGTCCCCGAGAATGAAAAACATGGCCAACAAATTGCGCAACATGGCCAACAAATTGCGCAAACCAGAAGGAAAGAAGCAAATAAAGCAATTTCTGGGTGCCAGGACGCCTGCCTCTTCCTCTACTACTACGTCCTCTACCGCAGTGCGAACATGGGCATGGCCGGCGCTCTGCCAGGGCCCAAGCAAGCGAAACCGAACTCCGAACTCTCAGCGGGGCCTTTTGCAGGAATGGGTCCAGGAATGGACTGGTGCCTTTTCTGTGGTCGAAATATGAAGCATCCGATTTTTGGGAGCGCATGAGTTTTGGAGCATGGGCCAATGGTTGGTGGCATGTGGGAAGAATCATTTGTATAGCCAGGAGGAACCACGAAGCCAACCCACCAGGAAGCCAAAGTCGACCCCCGAAAGCCAAACCGGGCGGAATTGTCGGGGGGTGTTTTTCACAGTGAGCCGTTCCGTTTGATTAACACACCACCTCCATGGTAGGAAGCCAGGGGAAACATTATGTAAACCCTACCTGGCGCCCCGTATGGCTGTTCTTTTGCGATAAAACTCCCGTATTGGGCCGTAATTGCCCACGTGACATTTTTCCGGTCATTTGCGCAAATGACCCGTATGAAACTCGCATGATGCTTTTAACATCTTGTTGAATCAAAGCCGTCAAAGTCCATATGGCCATTTTTTGCCGGTCAAAGGCGTATGACCAAAAAACACGGCCATATGGGTCGCAGGTAGAGATAAGAACCCCTGGTTACCTGCTATGGTAGCAACAACTGGGACCTATTCACCTATTCATCAAGCTGGGGGCTTTGTTGGGATCACTGGGACGTATTCATCAAGCTGGATGATTGTTCTTCCCCAGCAACACCGATTTGGGATCAATCTGCCACTAGGTTTGGGGCGGTCCTGGCTTTGAGGTTGACAGATTACTCGACAGGGAGATGTCGTTGGGGACACTCCTTCGGCGTATTTTTTGAGAAGAATCGCCAAGCCACCAAGGAACCAACGTGTCGCATCTTGGGGGGAAACCGGATCACCATAGGTGTCCTTTTTGGTTGTTTCGCTATAGAAAAATAGATGGCGATTCCTGGTGTACCCAGTGGCTCACTCATCTACCAGGGCAACCCATCTATTTCCCCTAAGAGGACACCTCTGCTTATCCCCCCCGGTTTTGGGGGAAGCTTCCCCCTCAGCCTAAAAACATCCTGGCCTCTGCTCCACGTCCTGGCCTCCCATGGCAGAGCTTGGGCCCGGTCTGCCCCATGGAGTTGGATCTGCCGAGAGGCTTGGAAGGACCCCATGAGTTGGAGAAATTGGGCTCCGGCGGCACGGTGGGCCCGGGGAAATTTCGTCCCTTTGGAGGAACCGTCCCTGTGAATACCCAGGTCCGGGACGCGAAAGGGCGCCCGACCGAACCTCACCCGTTTCTTTTTTGGGGAAGGGAGGTTCGGTTCCCCTTAAATAGACAAAACCGAAAAAAGGTGCCCTGCTTCTAACCTCTCTACTGGCGGACCTGGTCTATGTATAATCCATTTCAATTTCCAATTATCTTCTGACTCGAGCAATATTTCCACTCCCCCTTGCTGTGGGCCAAAAAATAGGGGCAGAATGGAACTTTGGTAAATGGACACATGGATTAAAAAGATGCGGTCCCCTCCTGGTGGAGTAAGTTTTGACCCATATACACATGTCGACCCCTCGTTTTTGTGCCCATGGGTTGTGGAACATCAGTGTGATACAGAAGCAGTGGATTCCAAGCTTTTTTCCCCTCCCCCTTTCGGCAGTGGGTCAAAGACAGAGTAACCTCACAATGGAGCCCTGGTAACTGGAAACATGGAACATCTCTGGTTCCCTGGCGGGAAAATTTTGCCGTGGCGGAGGCCTATGGCCACCATCATCTTTGCCTGCATCTGCTGGCTCATCGTGCCCACCCTCTTCGCGCCGTACCCCACCTGGAAGAACCTCTGCGAGGAGATGTGGTCAAAAAGCCAAAGGTAGCGGTCGGGTGAGAAGGGGCCAGAGGCCGGGTTCACGTTTGTCAGAAGCCGTCGTCTTTGCTCTTTTTTGTTTCTTAAGCAACAACTTGTTTTCTTGCATCACCGGCCTTCGCATCATGGGCTGGTGGCAGGGCCCTTCTTGGTTCCTTTTCAGCTTTCTACCCTTGTGGACTGGTCCTGGCCCTGCAAGTTGTTTCCGCGTTTGTCTTTTTTTGCCTGGGAAGCGCTTAGGTTGAGAACGCGGGTTTCGCCTCACTTCCCCAGCTTCTACTTGGAGCCTTTTGGTAGGCTCGTTTTGGTAAATAACCAGTCCAGGGCATTTTTGTCCGCCAATCCTCATTGGAAGTGAGGCACGAAGCAGCAAGGAGCCCTTTACTTCATGGACTGAGAACCAACCAGCTGTTTGCGGTTACCTCGGCGTGAGAAACTGTTAGTACTGTTGACCCTGATTAATAATCCCCTGCTTCTTGATATGGGGGGGTGTCTCCTCCAAAAGTGATGAATTCCCACTAAAACACAGGGACACTCCCACAATAATAAAACAGGGGTTTAATACTCTGGGGTCAACAGTATTTGCCGTCTCCTGTGATGTCAACCCAGGATTAATAGACCCCTATTTATTTATATGGGGATGTCCCTGGTTTTAGGAGGGGTGCATCACTTTTGGAGGCGAACATTCCCATACTTCTAAGCAGGGGTTTATTAATCCGGGGTCAACATCAAAGGAGATGCCACGGGGCGCACTCACCAAACTACCACTCGGAAATGGGGCCACTTGCCTAAGTCGCATGCATTTGGGGACGCCATAAGTACTGACTGTAGCTCATGTGCGCAGCGCACCAGAAACCTGAAAGGATTAGCCATTTTAGTAGGTGGTACTTTGTGGTTTTATCCGGGATATACTAAGAGTGGGTTTTGTAAATAGTTTTAACCAGATTGGTAGAACTAAAGTCAAAGGGTTGCGGGCGGTGCTTATGTTTTCCCAACGGTCGTTGGTGATTTAAGCCTTTCTTCAGTTTTCAAGGCGATCCCGTAAAATGTGCTGTGTTTGCTGTGTTTGTTACTTTCTTGCAGATGAGCGCTTTGCAAACCTGGGATGTCTTTTGAAACGGTGCATTGAAAGACTCACCATGGGCCGGAATCAAACATGCGTCTGTTTTTTGGCAAAAACAACTGAGGTAAGCGATTTGGTCGCCGTTCGCCGTGCTTGCGAAATGAAGTTTTTTCCAAATGGAAACAGGAAATTAAGCATTGTGGGGGTGCCCGCATTTCCAGACACACCCGAACGGGTATGAGCTTTCACTGGTGACCCATTTCGCGGTTTTCATGTCGGTGGTGATTTCCTTCACGTCCACCACTGCTTCTCTTTTTCTTGAGGCCCAATTAAATCCGGTGTCTTGGCACCTTGGCACCGCGTGTGTCCCCGACCACAGTTTCTTTTTTTGAGGCCCAATTAAACCCGCGGTGTCTTGGCACCAATGACCAGGCACCACTTGAACCTGGTGTGCTAAGACGTGTCCCCGGGTTCAGGACGTGGAGTCCTTCTACCACTTCATGATGCGGTGCCCTGCCGACCGCAGCCGCGCCGAGCTGTACCACACCAGGCCGGAAGGGCCGCGGAGGGTCGAAGGGCCTCACTCCCCGAAACACGGCCCCGGTGCCCGAAAATCTGAGGAACATGGCGAAAAGAAGGCTCTTTTGCGGTTCTTCTTGGTTTTTTGTTTGTTTGTTTGTTTTTCTTTCTTGTTTGGCGGCGGTGTGTGTGTGTGTGCTTCGGGGCGTGATGACAGGAATCGACCTCTTGTCTTTGTGGTGTGTGTGCTCAGCCGAGGCACACGGAAGTTTGGCGTGGCACATGTCAATTGAAATAGCGATTGCCGAAAGCAGATTGCTGACAATGCGACGTGCGTCCGCATTTGTGTAAGGACGGCAAACGCGCACCACTCTGTGACAGTGTGTCGCAATCTTTGCGTGTGTATCTGTGTGTGTGTGTGACAGCTTTCTGGGGGCGGCACAAATTGCTTGCTCTTGTTATGAGCTTGCGGCTTTCCTGCAAAGCAGGCTGCCCAAAGCAGTCCTGCTGATGGTGGCACCTACACACCAATGTACACACCTACCTACACACCTACCTACACACCCATCTACACACCCATCTACACACCCATCTACACACCCATCTACACACCTACAAACCTACACACATGCACACAAACCCCTTTGTGATTTGTTTGGCACAGATCCACAGTCCAACGTATCGTTTTTTGTGTTTTTTTTCTCCATTGACTGGTGCATACAAGGGTGGTTGAACCACCAACAGCTCCAACCAACAGCTCCAAAAACTCTTTGAGGTTCAAAGGTTTTCGCCCAACCCAAGTCTGTGCACAAGTTGAAGCATTCACATGGCTATGAGTTCAATTTGTTGGAGCGCATATTGGTGTGGATGCATGTCCAAAACTTGTGAGTTGGTTCACTGCCAAATGAATGGAATTGGTCCATGGTCGAAGCCTCAATTGGTTTGAGCGGGAAATCAAGATGGAGGTTTCCAGCGGTAACCAAAACCCTGGAGCTTGTGGCCAGTGGCCCGGTGGCGTCCACCATCCCTCAATTTCCCCATTTTGTTGGACCGAAAGTGGCGATCGTTTGGGGTTTGGCCAGTCATTTGCAACTTAGGCGTTTGGGAAATCCGGTGAGCATAGTTCGTCAATGCGCGGCGTTATTCAGAATTCGGCGCTTTGGACAGAGCTTGTGGGGGAAAAGCAGGTGCAAGTCGTTGAGGAGTTGGTTTCCCCAAGTCCTTGACAACCAACGGCATTTGCGAGCCGCTTCAGGCTCGCCTCGATCTGTTTTTTCTGGTACGGGTCCATCCAAGCAGCAAGTACTTTGATTTCGCCACGGTTGGCCAAGTTGGCAACTTGGGTAATTACTTTCTTCATTCCCCGGGGCTCCTTAAAAGATACATTTTGCCCAATTGAAACATGTTTTTTCCACTAAAATAAAGGGAAACCACCATTTACAAGGCAATGTTCAGGTGTATAATGTAAGGATCCCTGTTCCCCCAAAGTGAAATCAGCCTTATGAATTAAATATATGGCTGTGGGTCATAGGGTAACCCCAAAATGGCACCAAAGGGTACATGGAACCCGTGGCCAAACTTGGCCGAAAGCCGCTGGGCAGGATGTGGATCACCATCTCAGCCAGTGGCAACAAGCCGGCGCAGGACATTCGGAGCTCGGGTGGGTTTCGGAGCGGCACGGAGTTTTGCTTTTCTCCTGAAGTCTACCTGGAGTCTCCATGACCCTTTAAAAATGGGTCCATGACCCCTTTATTTTTGGTAATGACCAACCATTTTTATTTCGGGTCATGGAGACTCCAGGTAGGCACCACACAGTACAAAGACGGATGGTATGCCACAAAAAAATATTGCGAAATGCAGCATGGAAAACTGTAGGCCTGCATAGGTGGCATGAAACCGAGAGAAAGCAGAACAGGTCCCCCAGCAATTGGTCCGCCCCTTTTTCACATTTTGTTTTGGGGAGGGGCCAACTTGTTCGAGCACCTCTCGAATCTGGAGGACCTGGAAGTGGTCCAACTCAAGCTTGTCTTTTTGTGATTGTTTGACTGGTCGCAGTTTAGGTCTCCTGTCCTTTGGTTTGATCCGCTCTGTTGCTTTGGCCGAACCTCGAGGGAAAGAAATTGGATTTCCTTGACACAGTTGCCTTGTTTCTATCCAACCCAAAAGAAGATGAGAGTTTGCTGCTGACTTGCATGGAGTCGAACGTCACCAATCGAGAAAAAAGGAAAGAACAAAAACACGATTTGACGTGAGTCTCTGTTTAGGTTGGGTGACGTTTGAAGGGAACAACAGACCCCAAGAGAGCCGCCGGGTGGCTGTGGAAAATGTGTTCTTGCATGCTGGGGGTGCTTGCTGCTGAGGCTTATGCACTTGTAGGTTTCTTTGCTTGGCTGGTTCGCTCCAATTGAAACTGCCATCAGAGATGACCACTAGGTTTGCTCGCTGGTGCTCGGCAAAAAATGAGGGACTGAACCCGGAGGTCACCTGAAAGGAAACTTGTAGGGGTCATTCCAACTCATTCTTGCCTATCGCACCAGCAAGACAACCCCTCTATACTAACCCTTGTGCCCGTCGGCCTCATTGTCACACAGACCTTGGCCGAGGCTTGTCATGGGCTTCCTTTGCCTGCCAGACTGATTGTTTTGGCAACGCCAATATTCAGGATCCGTAAACTGAGGTCTCAGCAAATATGTGATATTTTCTTAACCCTGGCTAAGTATGAAACAGAACCAGTGATTGTACTCCTCTGCCGGGCCGAGGATCATTGGTGTAAAAGGGGATGGTGCTTGGTACATTTCCCAAGGAGACTGCCCAAGATGGACCAAAGGGAAAACAGCAACATGCACGGGCAGTCACCAACTGCAAGCACGGGGGGTTGGGGGGTTTGGATTTGGGATCAGCGTGGAAGGCAGAAAATCCCTCGAAGGGGACCCCCAAAATTCCCCCCCCAACGCACCCCCTTGGAAAAACGAAAAAAGTCAAGCCGCTTTTGGAGGTGTGTTCAAGGGGGGGGGAGATGTGGGTGTATTTGGCTTTTTTTTGGGGGCACCAATCCAGGGGGGGGGGTGGTGTGTTTGGGGCTCCACCACTCCAACCCAACTCGGAACTCGGAAAGCGAGCCTCGAGCTCCAGGACCCGCCCAAGGCCGGCGCCAAGGGCCAGCCTGGAAACCTCTTCGAGGACGGGAGCTGGTCTTGAGCTCGCCGGTGGAGGTTTTCCGTGGGTCGTGTTCCTCGCTTTTTGTTTTCTCTGTTTTGTTTTTTTTGTTTGGGGGGAGGGAATATACTATGTATACTATGTGTGTCTATATGTATATATAACATAAGTGTTTATTTATTAATTTTTCAGGGGGTTCTCTCTTTTCCTTTTTTGCTGGGGGGAGCAGGATGTCAGTTTTGGAAAGCAACCCAGCATCTTAAACGCAATGACGAAATGGTTCTTTGGACATCGACCACTCGGTTTCGAGTCTACCTCGGAAATTGAACCCTCGACTCCGTCAACACCCTTCCACAGGGTTACCTCCATGCCTCAAAATGACCAAGCCGCAGGGGTAAGTTGGTACAGCTTTCCAGATTGTTTTTCATGATCATCAATGATGAATTCGTAAATTTGTAAATGCTAACAAACATCAATATATTTTATGAAACAAATGATTACCACACAGCCATGCGGAGGCTACGGAAGAGCAACACGACACAGACAATTGCGTAGGCCCCTTTTGATAGACCTAATCTTGCCTTCTGGAAGGAGGCGGGGTCTATGCACCAAACCATTACAATGCCTCATGTCTGGAGCCATCCCCTTAGCATCTCTTTTCTCAGTGGTTCCCAGCCATCCGGTTCCTTAGCTTTTTGGCTTTTTAGAGTGTAGTGGTTGGATTTCCATTTATAGTCACTTTTAGCGGGGGATCTCAGTGCAGCTCAGTTTTTTTTGGGAAGGGCGCTGTTCGGAGTTCCATGTTGTTTGACTGTGTGTGTATTTGTGTTCTGGTTTCAACCCCAAGGTTCAATCAAAGACCCATCCGCAGGGGGAATATTGCAAGAGGGAACACACCCTGTAAATGACTGCTTTGTGGAAACCACGCCAAGAAGCTATTTGCAAGAGTAGTTTGAGGGTTTAGGTGTTGGTGGGTTTGCCTTGAAACATTCAGGGAAAGCCGATGCTAAGACAATGTGTGCTCCACGAAAAATTGCCAACATGTAAGTCTAGGGACCCCAGTAGTGCCCTTTTGCCCTTTTTTGGGGGAGGGCTTCCCCTACTAAAATAGACAAAACCGCGAAAAAAAAATCGGGTCCCCTTATTCTGACCTCAAATCTGGAGGAAGAAGAAGTAGAAAGGCGGAAAACACTCCAAATGCCTAGACCGTGGTGGGTTAATGGTTTGGCCAAACCACGACCTCCAAACCGTAGGAACTGGTCGATATAACCATTATATAAACCGTTTGATGCCCAAGGTGCCAAATGGGATATGGGACCTGCCTTCTGAGGGCCGGTGTTTGTTTCCATTCAACCCCCCCCCAAAAAAAAAAAAAAGAAAAAGAAGAAGAAGAAGAAGAGAGCGCGTCCCCTCATGATTTTTTTTGTTTTCCTTCAAAATCCACAAATTGCACCAATTTCAACCCCACAAGTGAGAATTACGCGCATTTAAGCAGATTGAGATTCAAAAGTATCCGGCCAATGCACTTTTAGTGCTGTGGACCTTGGATGTTGTGCCCAAAGATGCAATTATCTTGGCATCTTTCTTGTCATTCCTGTTACACTGTTTAGCATTAGAACTGAATTAGAATTCAAATAGAATCCTACAAGGAAAGGCAAGCTGGTCGTATATTCTGAATTGCCTGCCCCTTAAAAGGAGAGAGAAACCAATAGAAGAAACTCAAGGGAAGTGCAATTTCAGTTCTATTGGTTTACAAGTTTTGGATTGCACCGCTTTAAGTTTGAACCATATTTCAATTCGCGTTCAAGTTACCATACCATGTTGAAGTAGAATTTACATAGGTTGCCCTTCGCAAGTAGGATGTTCTTTGGAAATCCAAGGAAACAGAAGCTTGTTGCCTCTTCTAATTTGCACGCCTCTGAAACATAGAAAAAGGGCATTGAACAAGCTGATTTCATTACAATGTGTTTGCAAAGTTTAAATTGCGAGGCTTTACTTGCCTTCAAATTGGGTTTTGATCAGACTTCACTTGATCTTCTTGAATTAGAAATTAGTCAGCACTTTCCTTCCTGGCAGGATGCGAATTAGAAGTTAATTAGAACATTGAATTTAATTGTTAGTTTAGATGTGTAATGGGATCTTATCCAAGTATGCTTTAAATTAGAATGTAGGTTATATATTTGTTTTATCATGTTAAGTACATTGCAAACAGGAGTTCCTTCCTGGATGTTCTTTCCAAATATGATTTTGTTTGACATGTGTATGACTAGAATTTTGTAAGGAAATCCACGCTGGTAGTTTTTTTAGCCGATTCAATTATAGTTATTGTGTTGAATCAGAATTCAGATGGGGTTTCCTTTCCAAGTATCTAGGATCTTTTTAGGTTTCAGCTCATAGGTGTCCTTTTTAGGTGAGCCCGGTTAAAAATCGATGGCTCTGGTTTAGATGGGTTTTGCTCCATTTACCAGGGCCATCTACTTTTCCAAAAGGCCACCTATGTTTCACTGGTAAGGAAAGACGAGCTGACTGTTTCGTCTAGTTCATCTGAATAGAATTCCGTTGCGGTTGGCAGGTGAAATGCCCAGGCCGCGATGGCAACTGTTTCAGACCCTATGTATCCATGCTGGCTGAGCTCGGGTCTTTTTTTCCCGGGCTTTCTCGAGTCTTTCTTTTTTTGGTATCAAGGACAGCTGCGCCAGAAGCTACGAAATCTCCGTGTTTCGAAACAAAACCCACCTGCCCCCAAGAGGCCGCCCTTTTTGAAGCAACAGAGAAACGCAGGGCTTGGGCTCGCCTCGAAAGCGAAGGTTCGCCTCCGACTCTTGTCGCAGGTTCTGCTGCAGGCGGCCATGGAGCAAGACTCCCGGCCGGTTGGCCCGGAGTTGCTGAGGTGGATTTTGGATGGACACGGCGGACGGCTGTGGATGGACGGAGTCCAATTCGCACCACTTTGGAACAAGGAAAAGCCCATGTTTGTTGGCATTCACAGGGAAATCGCATGATTCTAGGGTTTCTTAGGTGTACGGAATCCTGCACCGCTCAGAAACCCTAGAATGATTCGATTCTCCCTTGGCTTATGCCAACATTGGCTTTTCATTGTTCCAAAGTGCGAACGGATTTCGTCCATCAGTATGGCTGACCAACTTTTAGCTGACTCTATTCTGCGGAATGGGAGAAACGTGAGGTCGATTTTCATATGGCAGTGGGTCAAAAATAGGTACCCAAAGGGCATCTTGGTAAACAAAACCAAAGACGAAAAATCCAGCGGTTTGCCCTAGCTCTTGAATTTTGAGCCACATTCGAATATGACAATTCTGCTGAGCTGATTTTTGGTGTACAAAACAGGGGAAATGGGCCGGGAAATCTGACTCCGGCCAGGGCTGAATGCTGGGACCCGCTGGGGTTTCGTTGCTTGTCTGGGACACGTCACACTCCTTGGGTCACTCTCAAATGCTGAAGAGTGTTTGTCTCGCTTCCCTTCCGGTGTACTTGCAAGTAATGCACAAAACTCCAGTGATCCCTTCCGGGATACGCTCAAAAGACATGTTGCGGTGTGCTCTGGCGGCAACCTAAATGAATAGAATGAGGTTGCGGGGCACTTTAAAGCCAAGCCAACTCATGATCATGGAAGTTAGTAGTTATGTAGCCCCTGATGGTAAGTTTTCTTTGGGAGATTTAGACACTTGACAATGGTGAAACAATGGGGCCAGAACTACCCTGTTTGCCCTTCTCATGTTCCCTTTCGACCAGCAAACATGTCTTGTTTTTGCACGGGGCCACAGCTGGAGGTTTTCAAGAGACATCAAAAATTAACAAGTGAGGCAACTAGTGTTGGAGGCCTTTTCATTGTGAGATTGCCCGGGTTGTTCAAAAGGGGATGCCTGTTCTGGACCCGTTCCGCCTCCCCCCCCCCTCACAAAAAAGACAACTGGCAGTGGTCCACTAGTGAATCAGACAAAATGTTTGAATCCATAGGGGCCCAGACTGGCTTTTGGTTTGATGGCTTTCCCTTCAATCAACAACCCCAAAAATGAGTGGGAACAACTGAATCCTGGACAGAATGGAATGTTCACCTTTTTCGTTTGAGGTTTCCCTTCAATCAACTAGTGCCCAAAACATAGCCTTTGTTCCCTTGGCCACTGCCTCGTTCCGGGTCGGGACAGATAGCTCTTAGATCTTCCATTGGGTGAATAATAGTTTTATTTAAATTTTCCCCTGTTGGTTTTAAAGGGAATTGATTTCACTCCTGGAGTTCTTTGCTCATTTTTCCAGGGGGGTTTAAAGCGCAAATGGAGGTGGAAGACCCGACCACCTCCATTCGACACCTCGCCAACCGGTGGTTCTCAGAACCAGATGTTTTGAAGGCCCCAAAGCCAATCGAATTGGAGCCTCTGGGTAGCTTAAATGTTTGAACCCATGGGGGCCCAGACACCCACTGGCTTTTTGTTTGATGGCTTTCTCTTCTATCAACCAACCCCCAAAAATGAGTCACAGATTGATTTCTCTTAGCGCTTCCGAAGCCGGCGCCGGAGCTCCGGCTCGCCTAGCTTCAACTACCGCTTCACGGACGACTGCATGTCTCTGGTCTGGAGCTGCTGTCGCACCACCTTGCTCTTCGCAGTGCTGTCGGGCCCGCAGCCGACGTGCCGTGTTTGGGTCAACCTGGAGCTTCCCAACATCTGGGGTGATGTCTATCCCCCAGCAATTGGTGCCCGACCTCTCACCCAACTTTTTTGGTTGGGAGGGCTCCCCTACTAAAATAGACGTCCTGAAAAAGTTGGTGCCCTTATTCTAACCTCTCGACTGGAGGACCTAGATGTTCACAGGGAGTATAGGGAACCCTTTTTTGAGGGCTTTCCTTCAAACCAGGGCCAGAAAGCAAAAACATGGCGATACTACCACCTCAAACTCTGAGCGAATCCCCGGTTTTCTTTTGTGTAAGTGTTCCTGGGTCCCTCTTCTTGTGGTTTCAGTTTCTGGGGTTGTCAAGATCATGTTCTTAGGTGTTGTATTCATTCCTTCGTGGATGTCACTTGAAAGGACTCTTTTGAAAGCCGCCATGGGGCATCAGCCCGAATCGGTGGAAAACCCTTTGACCAGCCTCTCGTATGAGGCTCGTCTCAACCGCTTTCTGGTTGCCGCGATGGCCCGCTGGTCACTTTTTCGAGCCCGAGGATTGGTCTTTCAAGCATCGAGGAACAGCTCCATTTCTGGCTCCCAGCGGAGTGGGTATATGGTTTTCCCTGCCACGAGCCGGACTTGATACACAAAAATAGAAACAGATATGCGGGCACACACCAGAAACAAGCACAAACAAGCACAAAACACAAACAAGCATGAACAAGCATGAACAAGCATACACACAACAACCGAGAGGGCAAGTGACGTTCAAACAAGCTGACTCGCCATATACAGTCACATTATTGTTCTTCTTATATTCAAACTAACAAGCGAAACAACAAGCAACAACAAAAACACACACACACACACACTATCAAAGCGTCATCCTGATTGCTCTTCTGCTTCTCGAAGTTGTTTGCCTCATTCTTAGCTCCCTCTTTGTGTCACAGGCTATGCCCGAATCAACACTGCCCTCATAATAAAACATGCTCTATTTTCTAGTCACCAGGGTAGTGGTGACTCAGGGGTCTTGATCACTTTGATCACTTGCTTAAGTCATGCCTTTGGCTCGTTGCCATTATCTTGAGTATTCCGGCATTCCTTTGAGTTGTTGTCAGAGGTGGGCTGTTTCTCATCACTTTCAATGTGAGGACTGGCCTCTAGCCTGAGGGCCTGTTGAAGGACATGATTCATTCGAGTGCTCGAAGACACAAGCTTAAGAGTGCTATTCAGAGGCAAAGTATTGCCCTTGCCACAAGCCCGATGTTTTGCTTTTTTTTAATGTTTCATTTGGCAGCCGATCTTTGAGCTGCGTCCAAACAGCGCACCACAAGGACCGCACCCCGGTGCGTCCGACTTTTCCGGCCGAGCCTGCGAGGCCCTCCTCCTGCATCGAGGCCTGCGAGTTCTGCCTCTTCATGTGGGCCGGGGCCTCCAATCCGCGGGAGCCGTGGGATTTGGAAGCGTCGGGTGTGACGCAAAAGTGCCGCTGGAGCCACCACGGAGCGGCCAATTTTTCTTCGGCGAAAACCGGGGGAAGCGCCACGATGTATACGCTCCGTTTTTTTTGCTTGGAGGCTGAGCCAAGTCTTGCTTCAGGTTTTTGGGGATCGGAACTGGTTGAGATGGCTCGCACCAAAGGACTATCATGAAGGGTCCACAGAAGATCATGGATCCCCGCAGCCGCCATTCTGCCTATTTCATAGCGAGCTCACCAATTTGGGGAAGCCATGATAAAGGTCCTTTGCCTGGGGGTCCAAATGTTAATTTAGCTCCTTTTTTATCATCCTGACTATTGCAATCTGTCACCTTTTCTTTTGTGACATCACCAGACATGGCAAACGATGGGAGCTTGGCAGCATGGACAAAAGCAGCTCAGCCCTCGAGGGATCCTTCTTTTCAGGATGAACGATGGCTTTGCAAAGCCATGGAAAAAGAATCACCCCCCAGAAAGGATTCATAATTCAGATCCCAGAAAGGATTCATAATTTAGATCATAGTGAGCTTTTATGGTCCCCATCAAAACATTTAGGTCCTAAATATCGTCCCTTTTCATTGGAACAGCAAAAGCACCAGCAGCTCTATACTTTTTAAATGGGGAATCAACCCCCCAAAAAAACAACCGGGCCACACTTCACGCAGCAGCCAGGGACAGGGCCCGAGTCCGAGCCGGGTTCTGGGCTTCGGTTCTGAGCAGCGGTCGGTGGAGCGGTCGGTTTCGAGCGGTCGGAGGTGGTGCACGCCTTCCTGGTGCTGGCCTTCGGCGTCTTTGTGGACCTCCTGTGGATCGCGGCCGGAGCGGGGGTGGAGGGAGGTGGAGGGGAGCGCGGGGGGAGCAGGGGGGGGGGGATGGAGGGGAGGGGAGATGAGGGTGGGGAGGAGCTTGGAAATGGAAATGGCCGGTTTCCGGGCGGAACGGAGGCTTGGCTGGTTTCGTAGTTTGTTTTCATGTGTTTGTTTGTTCTTTCTTTTCTTTTTTGGAGGGGGGGGGCATGTTGTTTTTTGGTGTGTGCGTGTGTGAGGGTGAGGGTTGGCTCGTTTTGTTTCTTGGCTTTTCTCAGGCGCGGGGTGCGTTCGAAAGCTATGCCAAGGGGCCCTTGGAGCCGATGCTTCTAAAGATTCTGTGGCACTAGTGTCACACCCCAGGAGACTTGTGCTTTGTCACACTAAAAAATAATACATATATATATATATATATATTATATATATATATGTTGTTTTCACGTTGAGGAATATGTTGGGTGAAGGTACTGTAGTCTTCCAAGCGGATCCATGTGGGCAGCGTTTTTTCTTGGAATCAAGGATTTATACAAAAAGGGAGCTGCATCATGTCCGCGTAAGCAATTTAGCTGGGGGGCGTAGGCGCGCGGAGGCATCGCGTAGGCATTTCGCGCACATCCTTGTATTTTTTCTTGCGTAGGCGCGCGCGTAGGCACTTGATGGAGTTGTTATGTATTGTCTGAAGCTTTATGTTTTACAATGCATATGGATGGGCATTGGTTTGGCTGAGTTGTTGCAGACACACTGAGAAAAGGGTTCTTGAACCAACATGGCTAAGAATTGTCAAAGCGGTTGGCGGACATGAATCCGGGTCCCCCAGTAAAACGAACGCCCATATAATGGTGGCTGTCCGCCTATGCCACGTATGAAGGAATTTGCTTCTTTTGCCTTCCTTCTGTTTGTTCTGCAGTCTTCGCGTAGGCTCCGCGTAGGCCCCGCGTAGGCATTCGCGTAGGCTTTCAAGGCATTTTGGGTGCGTAGACCTTTTCTACCAGCCAGCTCCTTGGACAGATGTTGGATTCTCACTTGTACTGCATTTCTGTTCTTAGAGCCGGAGCTGCCAAAACTGCACTTGCACTGAAAAGTTGCGCTTCTCCTGCCGGAGCTGCCACAGTGCACTTCGACACTTGACCTCAACGTTTGCCCGCGTAGGTAGGCACCTGGAAGCTGACTTGTGATCGCGTAGGCACCCCTCGCAGGCCGCGTAGGCTTGCGTAGGCCTTCGCGTAGGCGCCAAGTAGTGTATAGGCCCCGAAACAACCAAAAAAACACTGCTCAAATGCTGATTCAGAGCCCTTTGTCTGGGAAATCAAACATGTTATCACGCTTTGGCGGCGCAAATCATCTTCCACATCATCTGCTTCTTCTACATCATCTGCATCTGTGTCGGACAACGATTGACTTGGCATTGCAATGCTCGAGCTGGAAAAAAGCGGCGCGCGATTTTCTTGCGTAGGCGTCCGCGTAGGCGCGACAAGAGACAAACGTGCGCGCGTAGGCGCCCCTTGCAGTCGCGGAGGCGTTGCGTAGGCGCTCGCGTAGGCATGTGTGCAGTGTATAGGCCCCGAGCACCAACAAATAAACACTACCCATGTGCACTTCCATGTAGAGGATAGTCCCAAGCTTGTCCGGAGGTGTGGTCGCACGCGAGTCGAGATGTTGGCGGTCGCACGTGAAGTGGAATTTTGCACCCGTGATAATGTCGACCTATTAATCCAGCTGGTGGATTCTTGGGGCAGACCGCGATGCTTTGAGTGTGTTTTTCTTGTGATTTAGTGCTTTAGTAGTAGCTACTGAGAACATGGCCCTCCCGAAGCTCTGTAGCCAAATCCTGAAATCACATTACCCGGAAACTGCGGCTTGATCTGGGCTTCATGTTTCAGGCTCCGAATGCGAGTCGAGTTGCCGAGCGCTCGAGAAGCCGCAGAGGTTTGCTGGCTCCTCTTCCTGTTGCCGGGGCGCACGGCGTGGGGCAGCGAAACCGGGTCTCCAAACAAATGTCACGTGAGTCACATGGGTAGACTGAATACCTGCTAGAATCTGAAGATCCATGTGTGTTTTTGTGTACCCCACAGCTGGCCAAGACGAATTGGGGTGAGCGGTGCACGTGCCGGTGAACAGAGCCCGCTTCGGCGGGAACCAACAGTGGATGGTTTGACCCTTGTGGAAAAACCACTACTGGGCTTTTGGCAGAGAAATTCAGATTTTTTGTTGGTACAGTCAGGGGGATTCGTTTGTGCCACTTTGGTGTGACAGAAACGGACTGGCGAGACCGAGATCCGATGAGATTCATTGAAGCCGGCTGTGAGCTTGCCATGGACTTTTTGCATTAGAGTTTAGAGTTGAATGTATGACATATGGCCATGGGCCAAAACCCAAAATCGTACCCCCAGTGAACATCCCAATCCCCACTAAGAAAAAACTAAAACGGGTGGTGCACCTATGCCAAAATGGTACCAAAGCGGTTTTGACCCACGGCCATATGGGTGTCGATCAAAAGCCCCTTTAAATGGGATGGGATCGACGAACCACTAAGTGGTATCTGGGTTCTCTTCCAAATCATATTTTGTATGTCTTGGTCCACAGTAGTGCCCTTTCTCATCTTTTTTTTGGGGAGGGCTGCCCTACTAAGGTAGACTGCAGAAAAAAAATCGGGTACCCTTCTTCTAACCTCTCTACTGGAGGACCTAGATGCTACAGTTCGGGTAGACTAGATATGAAGTAGAATCTGAAAGCATGTGTTCCGGCCACCCCAGATGCGGGCCCAAGTGTGGCGGGGTCATGAGGGGTCATGAGGGGTCTCAACGACTCGCGGCCCAACAATGCAGACTGAACCAGTGAGTTAGAAGGCATCCCTTCGCGAGCAAAGCGGTGGATTTTTGAGGCTCACAACCTATGTGTGCTAACCCGCACAAAGATCCTCTTTTTTTTCCCCCGGGGTTAGTCCCAACATGGGATCCCAGAAAATGTGGCTTCCTTCTGGTTCAAAGGAATCGCACCCTTCGTTTTCAAGCCACTTAGGTCATAGCCCAGGTAGTGCAGAAGAAACGTCCCGAACCCCAGGCAAGCCCCAGTATTTATGGTATAAGCCGGTGCAGATTCTCAGATGTGCCGGCTGAAGTTGACCTAGCCTCCAGTTATCATTCTAGCAGGTAACCAGGGAAGCCATCATGTATCGCCCTTATAGAGGTACGACACTCTGGTTACTTACTATTCCAGCAAGCGGATTGGATACGTTTTATGTGGAATCCTGTTTTTTTTAGTTGTTCATGTTTTTCATACTCACTGAGTCTCTTTTGCTATCCTGGGGTGGATCCACGAAAAACCGCATCCAAACCATTTCCTAGAACCAACTCCTAGAACTATATATAGAGGTCCAACTCTCAGGTTGCCTACTGGAAGCACTGGGTGTAATAGAAAGAGGCTCACAAAAATGCATTCTTCAAAGGATATATTAAGTCCCAACTTAAAAGAGTAATCGATATTCTCGTTGGTTTGGGGGAGATAAACCAAGTAAATTTGGTTTGGGGGAGATAAACCAAGTAAATTTCAGCATGGATTAGACAATTCAAAAGTGACTGACGATCTTTACTAGATAATTTCAAGGTAAATTACCAAGTAAACCAAATATCTAGAAATCCTAGATTGTCATTTTATATTTATCGCCACTAAGTTAAGCCAAGTAAAAAAACATAAACATCTGGTATCACCTCAGCCCGTGAACCTCGTGGCAGCTTAGATCCCCGAGGCTCTTCGCGAAGGCCACCTCCTTCAGCACCATCCTCCTCGCCGGCATGCGCCTCGCCTCGCAGTTGGATGAGTCGCGTCGGCGGTTGGCTGGGGGGAAGCACAGGTGTCCTTTTTGGTCGTTTTGGTGAACATAAAAATAGGTGGCTGTGGCTTACCTGGTGATGGTAGAACAAATTTGGTTAAAACAAACAAAAACAAAAACACAGAATAAAGATAGGTGGCGATTCCTGGCTTACCTGGTGGTGGTGGAAAAATAGGTGGCGATTCCTGGTTTACCTGGTGGTTTCATCAACTACCAGGGAAACCCATCTATTTCCCCTACAGGGACACCTATGGGAGGAAGGACCCGCCCCAAAGCGAAGCGGGGCGAACAGCGCCAATTCCTACCCTTGGGTCAAAGAAGCACAGAGGGTTCCCTCATTCCTGTCGCACCAGCAAGTTGAGGCCAAAATTCTAGCCTGGTGGGGTTGGATCAACCCTGGAGAGGATCCCCCATGGGATTTGGCAGACGACTTTTCGTTTGAAGCAGCCCATGTTCATGCTGACAGTCTGTTGAACTCTGGGGGGGGGATGAGAGAGGACCGGGCCCCAGCGAAGTGCCGCGGGTGTTTTTTTTCTCTTCCTGTTTTCTCTTCTTCTTCTTTTCCGCGAGCGTTCGAAGATGACCCCCCCCCAAAGGCGCAACATCGGCTTGTGGCGTTACCAAGCTTGGCAGTTTCTAGCCGTGCGGGTTTTGGGATCTGAGCTGTTTGGCGTGAGGGCTTGCCGTGTCCCAGCGAGATTTTGGGACCAACGAACCACTCAGTGCTGACTGCGGGGGTCGCCTCCAAAAGTATGTCATGCCTCTGAGACCCCAGATCTTTTGGAGCCCCCGAAGAATTTGGCCACCAGTGGACCGACGGGGGCTTGATACACCTCTCTCGAGCCAAACTTTGTGCCAGGCTCTTCTTCTCCTTCTTGGACTCCGTGTCCAAGGCGCCTGCTTCTGCTGGGGCCGTGTTTCGTGGACTGAAGGGGCTTTGGCTGTCACCAATTGACCCTGCAGACCATATGAAGTTGACATAATACGGCTCCTAAGCCCCCAAAAGGCGGGATACCCTATCAGGCATATGTTGGCATGATCTTGCAGTCAAGTGGCTTGCATGACGTGTGTGATTCGGTGCCTATCATTCTGTCCCTGCACAGTCGTCACGCGGACGCGTTGGGACAGTCGTCACGCGGACGCGTTGGAGACGGGATCGAAAATCAGGGTCCCCAGTTTCTTGTTCGTCGTTGCTTCTTGCCCTGTTGATTTTGTGTGTTAAGGGCGTATATCTGGCTTTGCCCAGGGATAGCCTTTACCAGCCACAGCACCTTAGCTGAGCTGCCCCTCCATGTAGGTGTGCCAGGCCACACGCGACACGCGCGTGCGGCACGCGCAGGGGCAGGCGCACGCGCACGCGCACGCGCACGCGCACGAACACCACACCATACCCACACAAACAAATGGAGGTTATTTTTTTCCTCTCGCTTTTTTTGTTTGATTTCTTTTTGCTTTTGGCTTCTTTTTAGTAGCTTTTTGGCTTTGGCTTTACGCATCCTCCGCATTCCCAATTCCTCTTGTGGCTTTTCGCTGGTTTATGCTGCTTTTGGTGGCTTTGGCTTTTCGCATTCTCTGCTTTCCCAGTTCCTCTCCGGGCTTTTTGGCTTTTGCACCCTTTCAATGGTTTTTGGTTTTGGTTTCCCGCATCCTCAGCATCACCAGTTTCTCCCTATTTGAATCATCACTTCTTCGAACATCATGGGTGGGCTTCCCCCCCCCAACCCACGCGGTA